CTCAACTGTGGGGTGTTGGGAGTGGGGAGGCTCTAGTGAGGGCAGGGGGCTCGGGGAAGCTCTGTATCTTCCTCTCAAATCTGCTGTCAACAGAAAACTGCTCTAAACAATGAAGTGTCTAAGAAGAAAGAAGGCTTTCCTGCCTAGTCACTAACGCAGTGTGTGGGGGTGACGGGCAGACCCGGGCGGCGCGGCAGGAACGCCAACTTCGTCCCGGGGGCGCCTGCTTACCTTCTGGCCTTGCATGTTCCAGGTGGCGACAAAGAGGGCTACGCTCCGGTCCGGGAAGTAGCGGGCCAGCTCGTCTGCCCCCATCAGGGCCCCGCTGGCCAGGAGACTCCCCTCCAGGTAGCTCCTGTGGAGAGGGCGCCGGACTGAACTCAGGTCCGAGCAGATGGACGCAAGGAGGGGTCAGCTGCAGGAACACGCCTCTCAGGCCCCAGTCGGGGCCATGGCCCCATATGTGCTTCAAACTGGCAGGGAGCGGAGGCCCAGCCGACGAGGAGCCGGCTGGCACAGTGGGAGGAGGGCAGGGGCGGGCCCGGGTGCCTCTCCGAGTTACAGCACGGGCCCCATGACCGAGCTCCCAGGACAGGCCCAGGCGCGGGGAGAAGAGGTCATGGGCCTGGACAGCCGGGCTCAGGAATCTCTGGGCCCCCCAGTCTGGTGAATTCATGGCTGCGGCCTCGGGACATGCGTTTGGGAGTCATGAACAGGAGACGTGGGGGCGGCACCCAGGTTCTTTTCAAGCTATAAAACAGTCACTGTGGATTAATTATTAAAGCCCCATAAAGCCTGGAAGCCAAGCCTCCGGATGTGAGCCCCCTGGCCCACGGGGCTGGGGGGGCTGAGTGGCAGGCCAATCCACGGTGGGCCACTGAGCAAACCGAACACCAGAGACGTCACGGGGCCCTGCTAGAAGCAAAGTGCCGGAAGTCAGGCCCTGCCCGCTGTCCCCCCCCACCCGTGAATGGACCTGGGGACTCTACTCTGTGTGGCTTGGCTGTGGTCACCTAGAGCCCCGCCCCTCAGCCCAGCCACTGCGCTTTTTATTTTTTTTTTTATTGGGGAGCAGTGTGTTTTTCCAGGGCCCATCAGCTCCAAGTCAAGCTGTTGTTCACTCTAGTTGTGGAGGGCGCAGCTCAGGGGCCCATGTGGGGATCGAACCAGCAACCTTGGTGTTCTGAGCCTGCGCTCTAACCACCTGAGCTCACCAGCCACCCCCAGCCACTGCACTTCTAATGACCGTCTTGGAAAAGCAGCAGCAGGCGCACAGCACAGTCACCTGTCTGCCCCACTGGGCCACCTACACGCGTGTCCTTAGCAAAGAAGCCAAGCGAAGGCTGGCCTCAGCAACACCTCTCGGGTCAGGCCACGGGGCAGACTTAACAGTGGCAAAAGCTGTCCCAGCATTGAGAAAAAGGGAGACCAGCCTGCTGCACAGAACGTACGAGCCTGAGGTGTTGAAACACAAAGGAAGGGGTGTCCCTCCGGGAAGGAGCTGGGGGACAGGGTGCTTGTCTCCCTCCACCTTTACTACAGCACCCTCACGCAGTCCTGTGCAGCTTGCCTCTGAACCCCAAAATGAAGGCCATGGAGGCTGCCCAGCAGGCCCTACCTGCTCCGGACGTCCTTGGCGCGGATGGGCGCCAGGAGGCTGGAGGATTTGGCAGAGTGCAGGGAGCAGTGGTCGCAGGCCAGGGGGCTCGGGGGCTGGCCGGGGCCCAGGCTGCTGTGGGCCCGGAACAGTCTGGCCTGCAGGCGGAGCTTGTAGTCCGCGTGATCCGCGTCCACCTTGTTTGCAGTCCGCAGGGAGTTCGAGGAGAAGTTCCAGTCCATGGTGGGCAGCGGGCGGGAGGGAAGCCCGCTGGCCAGCCTGGGGGTGCTCCCGCCTGAGGCCCCTTCCCGGTGCAGGAGGTCCAGGGAGGCGCTGTTATCCCACAAGGAGGGGCTCCCGCCGGCTCTGCCAGGGGCCCTGCGGGACGCGGGGATCTCCTGCAAGGAGGTGCTCAGGCGAGGTGGGGAGCAAGTGTGGGCGGGGGCCCCGGGGGCGCTGTCCTGCAAGGAGCCCCTGGAGGGGCTGGCCCCATTCTGGGCGGCCAAGTCCTCGTGGCTGGTTTGGAAACGCCTCCTCCTCCAGCCCTTCTCATCCAAGGACAGCGCCCGCTCCAGCTTGGGCCTCGGCGGGGGCGGCTTTGGGGTGAAGGGTTTTGCCTTAACCTGTGGGTCTTCACTGCTGCTGTTTACTGGGCTCTTGTTGTCGGGGGGCGGGGACACGGGGCGGAGGGCGAGATCTTTGTCTGTGTTCAGGGGGCTCCGCAACATTCTGCCTACAGGCCGCAGACGTGCGTGGGCGGGGGGCTGC